GGTTTCATTTGAAGAACACTATTATTATATAAACTGCACACCCTTCTTTGCCCTGACACTGATGATTCACTGCCTCACCATTACAAGTTGCATTTAGCGCCGTGAACACAATGAGGAGAACATTGTGTCAATATAGTGATCTCAGACTTGTTAACGTCTTGCCAGAAGATAACAGAACACTGCTGGAACAAGTGTACAAGTCTTTAAGAGAAAACTAAACAATTTCTTCCGTCAAGTGCCAGATCAACTAAGCTGTAGCAGATGTATAAGTAACCAGCCCCCCCAACCCCTACCTTCCCAAGAGCAACAGCCTGGTTGACCAGACAAGCCTGGTTCACTGCCGGACTCTGAAGTAAAAAAAATTGGAAGCCCATCAAAGGTCTATCAAAGGAAGTTAAATATAATGTCATCTGTAATCTTCATTTTATCGTTAACTTAAATACACAGACACTTGCAGTTTTAGAGTAAAGTTCCTACCAACATGTCAAATTTCGTAATAATGTTCTAAACTTTCGTTTTTGATAGTGATATTCCAGATCCCACGAATCTGCGTTTTGCATCAAGTTCTTTCAGTGCTAGATTGATTACCATGGCATGGGGATTGAAGCAATATATCAGCGCACCATCCATGGAGCGCACCAGCACAATACTTGATCTGAAAGACATGAACAGTGAATGGTATTTTTAAAAGGGCTGAGACTCGAATTTTTTTGAACTCATTTACTTCCTGTATACGTTAAAGATAAATTATATGCTAACCCTAAACCCATGTGGGTCATTAAGCTTGTTTATTCATCATGTTTTATTATATGTATATACCCTCAAGGGTGGGTCCTTGACGCTGGTGAGGGGCTCTTGATGTAGGGAATTGGATGTGTTCCAGTTCCCTGAAGTGAGCCTGAATGCCTTCCATCCCCCCCACACACACAGGCGCTGTATAATACCTACGGGTTTAGCGCGCCCCATGACAATGTATATATTACTAATTAAAAATGTGATTAGAAACATAAAAGGAAAGATGTAAGCAGATCAAGTTTAAAAAACGAAGAGATAACTGATGAACACAGAGACTAAACACAATAGAACGACAGGGTATAAAAAACGTGTTTTGTGTCAGGCGTATGACAGAAAATATACCAGAAATCATCTTCAAGATTGTGGAGTTTTCCTCTAAGCGCTCAACTTCGTGCTCCTTTTCAAATATTCATAAAGTCAAAATCTTTGCCATTAATGTTTGAAGTTAAAGTAGTGATTGTTCATCATTTTTTTTAAGTAAAGAGAGTCACTAGCAGAATTATTGCTGTGCTGTATATCCATGAAATGTGATTATTTTTAATGCTGCTGTTTTATCCTGTGTCTCTTTAGAAACTTTGGAAACTAAATTTTGTGCGATTAAGGTTTTTAATCTTGTATGAGTGGAGCCTTTGTAACCTAAGTGCTGCAAACTTGGCTCGTTACTGGCAAACTTGAGGTAAAATGATAATGCAGGGAACGGCAGGCTGGACCCACCACCACTTAACACTTAAGTGACTGTGATAAAGCCAAGGTGTAGGACTAGTGACGTGTGGCACATGTTCACGCTCATCTTACTCTCTTCTTCATCTCATTTTTTCCTCTATATCCTCCTCCGATGTTTCAGCGTTCGTCCCACTTGTCCTTCACACATATTCAAGCTTCGTCCAGTCATATCTGTCGTGGGTCTGCACCATCACCCTCAGGCTCTCTCGGCTTGAGTCGTTGTTCTTTTCCTTTTAACTGGCGAGTCACACGATCCATCATTATTCTGCTCCTTCACGCATCTCCTCTGCCCCTCATCTCCATAACTATCCTCCCCTCAAACCGGGTCCACTCTCCTCTATCATCTCCTCCACTCACCTCCATCTCCACTCACCTCCATCATCTCCGCTCACTTCCATCATCTCCCCGTTGCTGCACTGCACATTACATCAAGGGTACAGCATAATTTATAATTCTTGCGTCACAAGCTGACCACACCCGTGACAATGTTATATTCACTACGTTGTTCATGTTTCCCCAGGGAGCGAGGCAGATTCTGGAGAGGAAGACATGGGGCAGAATGGGAAAAAAAGGATGAAGGGAAACGACGATAAAAACAAAGTGGAGGGTATGTCTAAGACAGGGAGGAAGGAAAATGGGAAGGAGAAAGAGACAGACAAGAAGGGGTATGAGAGAGAGGAAGGGAGAGTTGAAAAAAACTGAGAGACCATCTGTCGCTTGGATAGAATGCATAAATTCTGGTCGATCCATATTCACCTGTGGAAAAATAATGTGGGCAGCATGTGGACCCCTGCACCTTTCTTGGCCTTAACAAATTGTATTCTTCAGTTGCTCGCAAAGTCTGTACTTACTTCATATACTATGTCTCTCATAATATGTCAAATTATATTTCGTCTATTATTTTATTATATTATTATTATTATTGGTTGTCAGGTTAACCCTTGTGGGTAATTTCGTTTACGAAGTGGTGGAGGCTTGATCCACAGTCATCAGGAAATAAACACACACACACTCACACACATGGGGAAGTGGTAAAACATAATTATTAGAGAGCGGCTGGGGAATGGGAAGCTGAGGGAAATTACTCTGGTATCGTCAGTGGTGTTGAAGTTGGGATCTTACGTCTCGCTTAACCCTCTTCAGTTTTACCCATTTTTATTCACCCCTTAAACCTTCATTCCCTTACTCATGACCTTTCATCAGTCCCCTCTCACCCCTTCTTTATCTCGCACCTCTTCATCTCCAGCAGCCTCTCATCTCCACCTTTCAGGTCCCCTCACACTATGTCCCCCTCACCCCTGATTCCCTCACTCAGCCACAGTCTGTAATTTATGCCACTCTCAGATGAAAATTCTCAGGGCCAATCAGACTCCATTCATCCAGGAAAGGGGCGGGGCGCCATCAGGCCGCACCTACCCACCTTCTCTCCCTTTTCCTCTCCCACATCACCCCTTCCTTCATCCTCCAATTCTATCACTCCCTTCCTCTGTCCCCTTTGATTCTTCTCTCCTCCTCTCTTTCATTCCCCTCGCTTTCTCCAGTCATTAAATCTCTCCCTTCCCCTGTAATACCTCTAATCACACTCTCCCTTCCCCTCCCCTTACATCCCTCTATTTTCCCTTTGCTTCCATCCCAGTCTTTCTGTTTCTGTACCCCCTTCCTGTAGACTGCGAGGGAGTGGGTCAGTTGACATGAGCCTTTGATACAAGGTCTCTTGATGAATAAATTATGTAGCGAATTTTTCAGGTTAGTAAGATGAACTGTGTGTGTTTGTGTGTGTGTGTGTGTGTGTGAGGGAGAGAGAGTGAGTGAGTGAGTGAGTGAGTGAGTGTCCACCTATTTGTGTGTGCGCGCGATCACATCTCCGTTCTTGACTGCCATTAACATTGTTTTTGAATCTTTGTTTTGAATTTGCTTTTACTTCATGATCCATCTTATTCTAACTTCTGACATCCTGAGACTAAAGAGGTATTTATATTTCTTTGACTTACATATCTTTTTATCTTTATCTTTTTGTTGCTGGTTATCGCATGTCAAACAATCTGCTTTTGCTTGCAATGTCAAATCCTCTTAGTATTTTTTTAACGTCATAATCATGTTTCTCCCAGCTCTTCTATCCTCTAAGGATATTGAGTTCAGGTTATTAAACTTCTCCTCATTGGGTATTTATCTCGCCCGTGGAACTAATCTGGTTATGAAAGATCTTTTCGAGATTCATCATATTTTGGTGGAACTGCACGCTGGCTGCATCCTCCTCATGTCCACCATCTTGGGTTCGAGTCTCCTATCGTAATGACGTTATTCGTTTGCAAAATATATCGCATCTTTGTATGTATGTGTATACACACAAACACACACACACACACACACACACACACACACACACACACACACACACACCACACACACACACCACACACACACACACACACACCAATATATATATATATTATATATATATATATATATATATATAATGTCGTACCGAATAGGCAGAACTTGCGATCTTGGCTTAAATAGCAACGCTCATCTTGCCATATAGGACAAGCGAAAATTTGTGTATGCAATAATTTCGCCAAAAGCATTCTGAACCTAACGAAAAAAAACATATATTTCACTGTGTTTGTTTAGTATTAAATTATTGTAAACAAATCTAAAATATATATAGTTGGGTTAGGCTAAAATAAATTGTTCTTGTTATAATAAGCTTAGGTAAGTTTTCTAAGATTCTTTTGGTGCAAAATTAAAATTTTTTACATTAACATTGATGAAAAAATATATCTTTAAACGTACAAGAGAAAATTTTAGAAAGGACTTAATTTTAAATGAGTTCTTGCTAATTGACCAGTTTTACATATTCGGCAAGACATTATATATATATATATATATATATATATATATATATATATATATATATATATTATATATATATATATATATATATATATATATATATATAAAAATGGAAAAACTTTATTTTTCTTCTGGGGTTAGTTAATTAAAATTCAACGTTTTAATGATACTTGAACATCATTAAGACTGCAAAATATTACATACATATCAGTACAAGATGTACAAGAAGCTGGACAGCTTCCCACCACCCGGGTTGTGATGGTTGTGTGGACCTGCGGCGTCTAACATGAGGGGAAGAAAAGACCCTTCGAAATCAGTCACTGGTAAAGCACAGGTAACTATCAAGAAACAGACTTGTTACATGTTACTGACTACATGGAAGCAAAAGCGATCGAGGACAAATAGTACGAATAAAACTGTTTCATTGTAAACACTCCGAATGGAAATTCAACAGTAAGAACCTGAATTAAATGACTGGATCAGCAGTTGCATTATATACGTTGAAATAGCTGTCTCCTCTATTTAGGCTTTCTTGTTGCTTATTGTTTCCTAAGACATTTTTTGTTTTTAAAAGGTGTTTGAGAAGGATTTGGCACCAGAGTAAATGTTAGTATTTTTGTGTGTTTCAGACCTGCTGATCGAGGTACTTGGGGTGTTGACGAGCTACTCCATCACCGTCAAGGAACTCAAAAGTCTCTTCGGCTCCATGAAGGCTGAGCGTGGACGATGGGTGAGTAGGGAACCTGTGGTGTCGGCGAAGTAGTGTTGGATATCTCTCTCTCACACACCTTTTTAATTTTTTTTTATGTTTGTAATTATCTTTTTTTGTCTGTCATGATTTGTACTGATTCCTATTTTTACTGATTTATTAAGATGATTCCGACATAGTCTGTGGAATTTATCGTCGGGTTTGGACGGCCACCAAGGTTGGTCCAGATTGTTGTAAATTTTCTTGTTGCCCTCGTCGTGTGACGAACTTAGTTGCCAAAATGTAGACAAAATATATGTTGATGTAAATTTCACTACTCCATGGAGAAGTGGAAAAGAATCCCTCCTCCTTAAGCCGTTTGTGTCATAAGACGAAAGCAAAAGACTTGGCAGACGATGCACCATCCCCCCAATGAAAAGCAGGGGTGTCACTAGCACGTTAAGAGACCATACAATAAGTGTCAGGGCCCCGAGACTGTTCAACTGCCTCCCAGCACACATAAGGGGGATTACCAACAGACACCTGGCAATCTTCAAGCTGGCACTGGACAAGCACCTAAAGTCAGTTCCGGATCAGCCGGGCTGTGGCTCGTACGTTGGTTTGCGTGCAGCCAGCAGCAACAGCCTGGTTGATCAGGCTCTGATCCACCAGGAGGCCTGGTCACAGACCGGGCCGCGGGGGCGTTGACCCCCGGAACTCTCTCCAGGTAAACTCCAGGTAAACTCCAGAGGTGCCTAAAATGCCGGAAGTGGCTAGTAATCCCTTCTCTTGTATAAATTACTAAATGTAAAATGAAATAGTTATTTTTTTTTTACATTTCGTTTACCTTTGTTTTTTATTTTTAGGTCACCCTGCCTAGGTGGAAGATGGCTGGTATGTTAAAAAAAATCCACCAAAACAATAATAAATGGTGTTCTGGATCTTCCTCTCATTTTATCTCGCTGTCAGGTTTTCTTTCACACACTCGTCTTGTGTGTGTCTTGTAAGGATATGTATAAACATCTAATTCTTAATCTCTCATGCGCCGATCGACATATTACCACTGCACCCCATTATTAAAAGAATCCTAATTAGGGGTCTTACTAAGCCTCAGAGAGGATTCATTTAGTGTTGGTTGTTCAGTGGGAATGTTTTTGCCTCGCGTCTTAGGGTCGACAAATTGAGGCGCGGGATATTCCTCCCTTGCATTGTAAAATGGCTCTCTGGTCTTATTCTGTTAGCATTTCATATTCTGTTCTTCTGTTTCCTGTCTGTGCTTGGAGTCAAGCGTAATAAAAGGGAGAATAGAAGGCAGAATTTAGGACAAGAGTAATTAGCTAGGAAAGAAAGTTGTCCCTGGGAGGCGAGGAAAAGGTTACCCACAGGTGTTGTGAGGGCAGCACAATGCCTTGCTGGATTAATCTTCATTTGCATAAACACGAAGCCAGGACTGTACACTGCCAGCGCTGGTGCCTACTCTTGTCTTCTTGACCTTAGTGCCTGTGACTTAGGTGGTGGTAAGACCCTTGTGTTACACACACACACACACACACACACACACACACACACACACACACACACATCTTTCCAACGGGATACCAAATCCTGAGGAAAGACAGAGGGAACAGGGGGGTGGAGGAGTGGCGTTGCTGATCAAAAATCGCTGGAATTTTGATGAGCTGGAGAGAGGAGATAGCGGAGAAGAAAGTGATTACATAGTGGGAACACTTCACTCTGGAGGTCCCAAGGTGGTAATAGCAGTGATGTATAACCCACCACAGAACAGCAGGAGGCCAAGGCAAGAGTACGACGAGAGCAATAGAGCGATGGTTGACACACTGGCTAGAGTGGCCAGAAGAGCTCATGCATGCAGGGCAAAGCTCCTGATCATGGGTGACTTTAACCACAGGAGATCGATTGGGAGACTTGGACCCACATGGGGGCCAAGATACATGGAGGGCTAAGATGATGGAGGTGGTACTGGAGAACTTCATGTACCAACACGTAAGGGACACTACAAGAGAGAGAGGAGAGGATGAACCAGCAAGGCTGGACTTAGTATTCACCTTCAGTAGTGCAGATATCGAGGACATCACATATGAAAGACCCCTTGGGGGCCAGTGACCATGTGGTTTTTAAGCTTCGATACACAGTAGAGCTACAAGTGGAGGGAGAAGCAGGAAGGCCAGGACGAATGAAGCCAAACTACAAGAAAGGGACTACACAGGAATGAGGAACTACCTGAACGGGGTTCAGTGGGACAGAGAACTGGCAGGGAAGCCAGTTAATGAGATGATGGAATTATGTAGCAACAAAATGCAAGGAGGCTGAGGAGAGGTTTGTACCCAAGGGTAACAGGATTAATGAAAAAGCCAGGATGAGCCCATGGTTTACCCAAAGGTGCAGGGAGGCAAAAACCAAGTGTGCTAGGGAATGGAAGAAATATAGAAGGCAAAGGACCAGGAGAATAAGGAGAACAGTCGTAGAGCCAGAAACGAATATGCACAGATAAGAAGGGAGGCCCAAAGACAATATGAAAATGACATAGCAGCGAAAGCCAAATCTGACCCGAAACTGTTGTACAGCCACATCAGGAGGAAAACAACAGTCAAGGACCAGGTAATCAGGCTAAGGAAGGAAGGAGGAGAGACAACAAGAAATGACCGTGAAGTATGTGAAGAACTCAACAAGAGATTCAAAGAAGTGTTCACAGAGGAGACAGAAGGGACTCCAGAAAGACGGAGAGGTGGGGCACACCACCAAGTGCTGGACACAGTGCACACAACCGAGGAAGAAGTGAAGAGGCTTCTGAGTGAGCTAGATACCTCAAAGGCAATGGGGCCAGATAACATTTCCCCATGGGTATTGAGAGAGGGAGCAGAGGCGCTATGTGTACCCCTAACAACAATATTCAATACATCTATCGAAAACAGGGAGATTGCCTGAGGCATGGAAGACAGCAAATGTAGTCCCAATCTTTAAAAAAGGAGACAGACATGAAGCATTAAAACTACAGACCAGTGTCACTGACATGTATAGTATGCAAAATCATGGAGAAGATTATCAGAAGAGTGGTGGAACACCTAGAAAGGAATGATCTCATCAACAGCAGCCAACATGGTTTCAGGGACGGGAAATCCTGTGTCACAAACCTACTGGAGTTCTATGACATGGTGACAGCAGTAAGACAAGAGAGAGAGGGGTGGGTGGATTGCATTTTCTTGGACTGCAAGAAGGCGTTTGACACAGTTCCACACAAGAGATTGGTGCAAAAACTGGAGGACCAAGCAGGGATAACAGGGAAGGCACTACAATGGATCAGGGAATACTTGTCAGGAAGACAGCAGCGAGTCATGGTACGTGGCGAGGTGTCAGAGTGGGCACCTGTGACCAGCGGGGTCCCGCAGGGGTCAGTCCTAGGACCAGTGCTGTTTCTGGTATTTGTGAACGACATGACGGAAGGAATAGACTCTGAGGTGTCCCTGTTTGCAGATGACGTGAAGTTGATGAGAAGAATACACTCGATCGAAGACCAGGCAGAACTACAAAGGGATCTGACAGGCTGCAGACCTGGTCCAGCAATTGGCTCCTGGAGTTCAATCCCACCAAGTGCAAAGTCATGAAGATTGGGGAAGGGCAAAGAAGCCGCAGACGGAGTACAGTCTAGGGGGTCAGAGACTACAAACCTCACTCAAGGAAAAAGATCTTGGGGTGAGTATAACACCAGGCACATCTCCTGAAGCGCACATCAACCAAATAACTGCTGCAGCATATGGGCGCCTAGCAAACCTCAGAACAGCATTCCGACATCTTAATAAGGAATCATTCAGGACCCTGTACACCGTGTATGTTAGGCCCATATTGGAGTATGCGGCACCAGTTTGGAACCCACACCTAGCCAAGCACGTGAAGAAACTAGAGAAAGTGCAATGGTTTGCAACAAGACTAGTCCCAGAGCTAAGAGGTATGTCCTACGAGGAGAGGTTAAGGGAAATCAACCTGACGACACTGGAGGACAGGAGAGATAGGGGGGACATGATAACGACATACAAAATACTGAGAGGAATTGACAAGGTGGACAAAGACAGGATGTTCCAGAGATTGGACACAGTAACAAGGGGACACAGTTGGAAGCTGAAGACACAGATGAATCACAGGGATGTTAGGAAGTATTTCTTCAGCCACAGAGTAGTCAGTAAGTGGAATAGTTTGGGAAGCGATGTAGTGGAGGCAGGATCCATACATAGCTTTAAGCAGAGGTATGATAAAGCTCACGGCTCAGGGAGAGTGACCTAGTAGCGATCAGTGAAGAGGCGGGGCCAGGAGCTCGGACTCGACCCCCGCAACCTCAACTAGGTGAGTACAACTAGGTGAGTAACACACACACACACACACACAGGAGGAGCTATGACTCGACCCCTGCAAACCTAAGGATAGCGTTCCGGTACCTCAGTAAGGAATCGTTCAAGACTCTGTACACCATATACGTCAGACCCATACTGAAGTTTGCAGCACCAGTTTGGAATCCACACCTGGTCAAGCACGTCAATAAATTACAGAAAGTGAAAAGGTTTGCAACATAACTAGTCCCAGAGCTAAGGGGATTGGCCTACGAAGAAAGGTTAAGGGAAATTGGCCTGACGACACTGGAGGACAGGAGAGTCAGGGGAGATATGATAACGACATATGAAATACTGCGCGGAATAGACAAGGTGGACAAAGACAGGATGTTCCAGAGATGGGACACAGAAACAAGGGGTCACAATTGGAAGTTGAAGACTCAGATGAGTCAAAAGGATGTTAGGAAGTATTTTTTCAGTCATAGAGTTGTCAGGAAGTGGAAATAGCCTAGAAAGTGATGTAGTGGAGGCAGGAACCATACATAGTTTTAAGACGAGGTTTGATAAAGCTCATGGAGCAGGGAGAGAGAGGACCTAGTAGCAATCAGTGAAGAGGCGGGGCCAGGAGCTAGGACTCGACCCCTGCAACCTCAACTAGGTGAGTACACGCGCGCGCGCGCGAGCATATAAATTCTAGTGCCT